GGGGGTTTTCCCACCAAGCTGGCCCGCGCGCAGTCCCTGGGTCCTAGAGTCCGTCATTCTAAGCTGTCTTGAGAGGTCTTGAGAAACTACAACCAGTAGAAACCAAAATTGGGGGTGGGGGGGAGTCTGAACTCCTGATCCACCCTCTGGTTTCTGGGCGGAAGAAACGGCTAATCACCAGGTCAGGTTTTCCTGCCATTCTAAAATAGCCAGAGGCACTGAAATGCTTTTCTAAGAATAAGGGTCTTGTCATGCACGCAACATACCTGGAAATACGTTTAACTTTTCACTGAAACCCTTGAGCACGTCCTTTGTCTTTTTACTACAGAGTGGGAAGGTACATCGAAGGAGTTGTGGGAGCCAAAGTTTTCAGATAAAACTGCCTACAGAATATATTGCTGTATAACTGTGACTACTCAAGGCAGGTCAAAGACCAGAGCCTAATAAGGAAGCAGTTTCTAGCCCAACACATACCTCTGTTGCTATGCCAACTCTAAGACTAACACAATTCTTTTTCACTCAACTGTTTATTTTAAAATTTTTAATACAATATATTTTGAACAAATTCTTTCCCCTACCCACCCAACTTCATGCTCTTATCTTCTCTGTCACAAACAAAACAAATAAAAACAAAGCAAAAAAAAAAACCCACCTAAAATGAAAAGCAAAAAGACAACTTCAAAACCAACAAAATGAAACAAAAAATGCAAAACAACAACAACAAAAAAAAAAAAACTCCATGGAGTCCATTTTGAGTTGGCCTACCACTCTTAGCCATGAAACCTGCTCTGGAGTGGCTGCTACACTCATTGACACTCAATTGGAAAAAATAGAATTTCCCCTTAAAGCACAACATATCCATTTGCAAAATACCTTCTTAGTTAGAGGTTGGAATTTATGCCTACTTTCTTTTCTCAGTGCTGGGATTTTGTCTTTTAACCTGTGCAGGTCCTGTGTATACTCACTGAACTTTGGACAACCTGTACATCAAAATGTACTCACGCCCCCCAACTCTCTCTCTCTCTCTCTCTCTCTCTCTCTCTCTCTCTCTCTCGTGCAGCCTCAAATTTTCTAATATCATTTTCTATGAAGAAATTGGATAATATTAATTTTCAGTCAGTCAGCTTGAGCAATTTTCTATTTTGGAAAATGATGTAAACACAAACAAAACATGAAAATTCTTAAGATCTCGACAAGAATGAAGTTGGAGGGAGAGGACAAGTTGGGCTTTTGACTTGGTGGTTGGAGTGACATGGGATAATCTATTTATAAGGGTTAAGGGGAGAATTCAGCCAAGGCCTAAGTGAGAAGTACCAGGCCTTTTCTCCAAAAGGATTACGAATGCCTATTTATAGAACCCAGCAGGCCACCACGTCCTGGATCCAGATACACACAGTCACAAACAGACTCACCAACAGCACTCCACAGAGTATTTGTGTAATATTTTATTTGACACCATAGTTAGCTTTAAAGGAAAATTAACGAGTAGCTAAGAATAATTTCATTAGAACACAATAATGATTACGCATCAGATTTTAAGGCCAAGGATTATCACAGGTTCTACATTATTAAGTGGACCAGAGCAGGGGGCAATAAGTCAGCGACATCACTGTAATCAACACAATCAAGTCCAGCTTATGGCACATTATTTTCTACATTACAAAACTGATACAGAAAACACATTGGAAAGATCACAGTGTTTGGATATTATAACAGCAGTTAAAAATAGTAAGGTGCATCACTAAGTTTCTGAGTCAGTCTTGCTTCTGAAGAGATTTCATTCCACCATGCAGTGGACTTCCAGCGAACCCCCTCTGTGAAGCTGAAGCAAACTCAACTGACAATCATCCTCCCAGCTCCAGGAACACATAACAAAAGCTAAAATCTTATGAGCACTTAGAAGTTGATCTTTCCAAATTATCGTTTGCCATTTTATCCTTAAGAACATATATATTTACAGCTTAGTTTCCCTGCCCTACATTTAAGTGAATTTTCATTAAAAATCAATGTCATATATTGCATTATACTTCCTCACTAGGACCAAAATACCCACTGTGGTTTTTTTAAAATTATGTGTACACAGTAACAGACTTATAGAAAGTAATGTTTGGGTATAATAATATGTAATATGCCAGAATACTTGATAAGTATGTTTCATTATAAAATATCATAGTATAACATTTTGTAATATAGTAAAATGTTCTGCACTCAGATTAGAACTGCTACTAATCTATCTTTCAAACACCTCAAAGTACCCCTAAGGAAATATAATAATTAGCAAGAAGTCAAAGAACTTGATTTTGGCAAAAAGGCATTTTTACAAAGCCTCTCTTTGTATTTCAAAATTCTTTTTATATACAACATATAACTGGTGTTGAATTTAATGTTAGTAAAAATTAAAATTATTTTAAATTACTAGTAACTAATTCCTATCATTTGTTTTTTACACCTTTGTTTTACTCATAATTATGTGGAGAAATACAGCAAAGAGAACAACTTTATTAGTAAGACTAATTTATTGAGTAAGTCCTCAAAATTCAATAGTACATTTAACTGTGGTGCTCATTTACTCTTAGGTCCAATTAGGAGTAAGCTGTTATACTGTAATAAAGATTTACTGTTTGGGGTCTTAGCCCCAAAAGATGAAGGAATTGCACTGGTTTGCTGCTTATGAAATGTGCCATTAGAAAGATGACCATTTTTTTTAACCCAATGATGATATAATCATATTTTTGTAAATATTGTGAACTGTGCAAAAATGAAACCCCTTTTGGTGAAGTAGATTCTACTCACTCTAGGATGTGATGCTTGACCAGTCCCAGTTATATATGGCTTTTCAGCATGTCTCACTGGTTTTTACAAAACCCATTTTAAAAATTCAGTTAGTTTGGTGCCACTACATCCAAGAGATTAAAATTCAGTCCTGCCTTACAAGAGCTCCCCAAGCAGTTTCAAGTTGAGAAAGCTCTTACCTTATTAGAGACTGGACTGTCCTTCACCAAATTCTGAGAGCAAACTATTACACATTGAGAGCTCTACTCTTAGTCCTGGAACATCTATCTAATTCAAATGATACTGAATTTTCAAGAGCAAAGGGGGTCTACTGCTGCTACAGTCTTCAGAAGACACCTCCACTATTAAAATACTAAAGTCCTAAAAGGCAGAGAGACAAGACTGATTATCTGTATCAATCTGCTTATTTGAATATATCCTCATGTTAAGTATTATTACATTCAACTTGAACCAAATTCAGTAACACAGTTTATTTTACTGGTAATTGCCACTTACACAGAGATATTAAAACATCACAGGATAGTATCAGACATCCCACTAAAATTGGTTGGAATAAGGTCATTTGCTGAAGACAAGTATAGAGTTTTTGTCTTCGTTAAACTGATTGCTAAGTCACAGCCACTTCACACACAATACAAGATTATACACTGAGGAACATATTGCACACACACAAAACATATGAAGAAGAGTTCAGCAGAACTGCATTGTTCTATGTGAATGAATTCTGTTTACACATACACGGGTGTTTCCCCATCTCCATTCTTTTAGAGTGCTTTTAGAATCATTTCTGAAAGCAAGAGGGAGTGTATTGGGGGTACCTCAGAAGGATCTATCTATGTTTTTATGTAAGAGCCTAAAGTCATGAGCTAGTGTCGACTTAGTGAGTAGTTATTGTGTAACGAAAGAGCTATCTTACCTTTCGGGTGATTCAAGTACAAAGATAAGCCTGTTCATGTGAGCCAGGCAATTCACCAGCCCTCCTTCCACCCCAGTGCAGAACAAAAATATACAAGATTTGCTTTGCTGTTAAATAACTCTTTAAACTTCATTCAGAATGGATGAACAACAGGTATCCAAAAGGGAAATGAAGGGTGCAGAGAATCCTGCAGAGGACTTTGTCATTTGTAAAGGAAACTAGATGGAAAGGACAAGGTTCAATATTTAAAGAAGATGAAAATGAGTAGTCTTTTAAATCTTAACAGCATCACTCATTAGGTCCTAATTAATTAACACTTTAAATTCCTAAAATAAGGGGAGAGATTCTGTCTGTTGTAGGAACTACTTCAGTTTTTATCTTTTATGACACTAACAATAATATGAACACTCCAATTTATGGAGTGGAAGAAGGATACATGCAGCCACTACCTTATTCTCATTGCACAGGCACTCTTGTGACAGCTTGCCCTGGACTTGTGATCTGACTACAGAATAGTCCCAATTTTGGCTGCTACTGACCTCAAGGTCACCCCTTCTGTCCAAAGTGGAGTCAAGTCTCATTGAGCCCCATGCTCTTAGCTAAGAACAGATGTGGACAGAGATATGAATGAAGCCTGCCTTCCCAGGAGAAAAGAAGTCATGTATGTGATTAAACAGACACAGAAAAAAAATTATCAGAATGAAGATATGTAGGGACAGATGATAACACATGCTGAATTGAAGGTGGCTTATGATTAGAGAGATTCCAGGAAGAAGGAAAAAAGTATTGGTAAGACTATACTCATTCTTAGTGCCATTAAATGTACATGTACAAATTACCTTCAGATGCTGAGCTGTGGTTGGCAACCCCCAAGCCCTGATTCTGCCTTCTCACTTGCTTTCCTAGCCAAATTTATGCTAAGATTGCAGGATCTTGGTAAATTTGAGGATTAGTCATTCCAGCTATTGAGACATAATAAAGAATTTCAGGGTCGCCTCACAAGCCACATAATTCTATTCCTAAAGGTAACACATCTCTGAGGACCAAATTAAAGTATGGATCAAAATCAGTGTTAAATAATCCTATTTCCTAATTCATTTTTGTGATATATTTATGGCCTGGCTACTCCTTTGCTTGAGTTATTGGCACCACAATCCTTTATTTTCAGTCAGCAAAATAAAGATTTGTGTTAAAGAGAGCTTCTGGGATACACCGCAGTAGCCTTCAGGAGGGAACATACTTTAACATTAAGAATGTTACTACACATGAAACTGATAGTGAAATAAATGGCACGACTTACTTTCCTGCTGAAAATGTCTCTCCTCCCTTTCTTGGGAAAATAAGATAGAAGAGGACCCTCCCAAACTTACAGTACTTTTCTTTCAGGAAAATGGAAAGTTTCAATGATAGGTTTGGCAGTCAAAAAAAAGAGTGTATCCTTGTTTCGATTTTACTGAGGTGGTACTTCAGAAAGACCACACCCAAACATGACATGGTATACAAAAATAGTGACCTTTTCACAACAATCAGCACAAAGTTACAGTCACTCTATTACATCTTACAAAGGTAGATCTATTTTTTCTAAAGCTTCTAGAAATATAACAGATACAACAAATCTATGTGTCATTTCCTAATCCTTTGGTTTTTCAGTCTGTATAATGAATGATGGAAAAGGTGGGCAGATTTTTAAAAGGAGGTACCTTTGAGGGAAGGGGTAATTTGCTTACTATGGTACTTGCATATTTCTAATCTGGAATACTGAATACATGAACTTGAAAGGAGAAGCCAGACTTTGAATCCTTGTTTTGCTCTCTCTTAGCTCTAAGTCTTTAGGGAGAGTCACCTAACACACATTGAGTGGCTGCTCCGACACAATAAAAGCATGTATTCCTTTAATATAATAGGACTAATTCTGGCTGCTTATTATCTTTAGCCTGTAGGGCCCATGCCAAATGCATTTGAAATGAGATGGCAAAGCAGCTGTCGCTGGTCCTTTCAAAAGAAAACACATGCCATGGACAGACTCTTACTTACAACTTCCAGAAAGGTGCTTGCCCTTCTCAAGAAAGAACTTCTGGAATCTAATTAAGTTTTACCCCAAACAGTATTTTCACAGATGGGTAATTAAAGTCAATTTTATATGTTGAAATCTGAGGGTATGAAATGGGACCATAAGCCAACAAGCTACAACATGTTTTACAAAAACCATTTTGTCCCAGCTTGTGTTGATGATTGTAAACATACAAAGAGTCATAAACTACAAAAAGACAGTTCTTTTCTTTGGTAAGATTCGTTGAGAATCTTATGAATTCAAGAGGTCCTCTTTTCCAAAACAGAATCACACATACAACATTCACACAAACCCATACAAATCCATTGGTTCATACAGTTCCACAAGCCAAAACAGACACAAATGTTTCTATGCAGCAAAGTATTACCTAACTCCTCCCAAAGTCTATTTACAGTTCAAATAGTGCTTCAGTTTATATGGGAAGAAATGCAGCATATACACATATGTACATATATATATACATATATATGTGTATATATATATATATATATATATATATATATATATTCAAATATCTAATGACTACTGAAATGATGACTATACAGCACAACTGTTTCCTTAATGTGATGTTTGAACTTCAGTGGTTAAATACCAGGACTTCGGTAAACTCATGTTCTTTGTAATGGAGTGACAGTTGCTATTAGTGTTCAGCAATCCACTATTGACATGAAACATTTTTATAGCTTGTGATTATAGGAGAAGTAAATTTGATATGATAACTAGAATCAATGGTATGATAGCCAAGCTCTAGCATGTCCTGTGTTTTGCAAGGTAAGGTGACCAGCCAGGGAACACATTCCACTCTTAATCTAATAGGATAAAATGGAGCAACAGTCTTTCTATAACCACTTCTATTTTCTTCATTCCATGTCTTTCACAGTATCCTATGAAATACAGAAATGACTTACCTTTGTGGCAGTTACCCTGATTTTTGAGATGAGTGATTTTCACCAAGAGCATATTTTACAGTCTAAAAGCTTCATAGAGATTACAAAGATAAAGGCATTTGAAGAATTACTAGCATGTACAATAAACAGATCACACTTCAAATTGAGACAAACACATGACAACAACACAACACTTTTTTTGCTAGATATGAAGCTTCCTGTCTTCCTTTGTGTTTGTGGTGCTAGGAATGGAACTAGGGCCTTGTGCATGCTAAACAAGTCATACCCCTAAGCTACTAACCTTAAGCTGTCACTAAATCCACACTCCTTCCTGCCCCGAATCTTATTATTCTGAGCTCTAGGAAAGAAAATTAGGGAAAGAGAAATTCTAAGGCCTAAGGAAGCTTCACATTTCAGTGATTAAAATAAGTTATGATATGTTTATAAAGTGCCCAGGATAGTGATTTAAAAAAAAACTCACATACATATGCAAACACATCTACTCAGAAAAAAATCATGAATTTCAGTAAGCAAAGGCCTAGGACAATTGAGGGTTTCTCTTCATGCCCTTCATCCTGACACTTGATCCCTGCTAACAGTTTTTAACAGAGCAAATTATTTTATATGTTTTAGATTATTTAGATTGTCTTCACTTCTGAATTTAGGGGTGGAGGGTATAAACAGATGGTCAAATTTGCTCCCCAATTTTGAAAGTGTTAGCATTCTATCCCCATCATTTCCACTTCACTTCTGCCTTCAGTGTCACGAACTGAAAAACATTATTTTTCTTTTGCTTTTCTCTCTGAACTTGGGTTTTACATCTCCGCCCGCCCCCCACCCCGACCGTTAAATCTGTGATTTTTAGATAAGTTGTGGCATCTTTGTTTGGCAGGCTCTCTCTCTCCAGTCTGGTATCACGCTGTCTTCTTCAGGCTGATCTCATCCTTCTGGCAGCAATGTGATGGTTCATGGTTGTGATACCATTGGATGTGGATTAGGTGGAAAACTGCCTAGAGGAGGCTCAGGAAATCTCAGGGGACTTCTGCCAGGCTGCAATGGGAGATGGAGCCTTCTACACAAAGACGCTGAAGAGAGGGAATTCAGCCTGATTGGGCTGTAGCAAATCAATGAGAAAGCAAACAGTGCCAGAGAAGCCTTCATACAAGCTGTATATGCTTTCAAGCACTCGGGAACCAGCTTTGAATTCTTCCGTGAATAAGAACTGAGCAAACCTAAGAAAAGAAGAAAACAGTTTTGAGTGTGTCCATATGACCAGCCACAGGATGCTCTTCTTTTGTGAAGTTAAAGTTTTAGTGTCGTTTTCTTTTCAGAATTATGTAATTAATTTGAGAAACTCCATTCTCTGGAGAAAAAAGGAGATCAGTTATATAAGTGTTTATGTTTTGCAACAGATTTTGTTGGCAAACAAATCCAACTATTTTTAGGAGTTGCAAATCAAAGCACATTAGTATTTTCTGAATTTATATTCCTTTCACTATCCAATAATTAAAAGTGAAAAAGTCACATAAATCATCCTACTTTTATTTATCTTGAATGGAAGCAAACATTTATCATTGTTCTTTTTAAAAAATCTAAATATATTGTGTTTCTGGGATTGTATAATTTCTGAAAAAGGTTTCATATATACATGACAGAGAGCAGAGTCTCAAAAAGGTGCAGGATTTTACACAAACTGCTTTGGGCAACAAAGAACTAAGATGAATGGGAGGATGCAAGCAACTTTTCATAATAAATGACATCAAATAGTAAATTCAACTATGAGGCATTATTGTTAAGACAATCTGCCTTTAAAACAAGTCACTGATCTCTAAAATCTCAATGAAAAACATTTTTATTTTCTTATTTCGGTTAACTATCACAACATTGTATAGTAGTTTCCAGCCTTTCAAATGCTCTCTCTGTGTCGTCATTTTTAACTGATCTTATTCATTTTTCATCAATAACAAAACTAATCAAGTCTGATGCTGGTGAGGCCTATGAGTTGATATTGTCATAAATTTAGATTATTGCAGCCACACAGGGGTCCCATAAAGAGTAATTACTTATTTGATCTTTTATAGAGCCCTTGGAATTATTGCAGGCAGCTTAAAAATAAATACGGAGAAAATAAATTGAAATTCCATTTGTTACCAATTTTCTATCAACTGTTTTCTTAAATATGCAACCATTTAAATAAGATTTCATACTTCTAGAAGAATAAAACAAGATATTTTAAGAATCAACTCAAAGTGTATAATTATGTGATAATTAGGAATTGTGAGATGACTTTGGAGGAGCCTTCATCTTTTGAGTGCTTGGCAGTCTGGATACCTCAGAATTGTCTTCAAATGTATAACATGTAGTATGTAGAATTCTAAAAGATCTCAACTATAGGAAAGCACAGTTGGTGTGCTTGTTCTTTTCTTTTATCTTTTTTAGATGCTGGGGATTAAAGCCAGAAATTTTGGGCATGCTCCATCTTTGAGCTATAAGCCCAGCACCAGTTTAAAAAAGAAGGAAGGAAGGAAGGAAGGAAGGAAGAAAGGAAGGAAGGAAGGAAGGAAGGAAGGAGTGAGGGAGGGTAGGAGGGAGGGAGGGAGGGAGGGAGGGAGGACAATTCAAACTTATGTATAGTAACATGCATTCTTCATTAGCACAGTAAATAGCACTATCTAGTAGTTGCGTAATACGTACTAACATTTTTAAGTACTTAGGGATATAAAATATATTTTGCACCATCTACAGCAAAAGAAATTGAATATGAGAATATGCGTTCTACCCTCTGACTCTTTTGCCAGCCTTTGGGATCCTATTCCTCATCCTGAGTTGTCTTTTCCAGCCTTAATATGAGGGGAGGTGTGTAGTCTTACTACAATATGATATGCCATTTTTGGTTGCTATCCATGGGAGCCCTGCCCTTTTCTGAATAGAAACAGAGGAGGAGTGGATTGGGGTATGAGGGGAGGTGTGGTAAAGAGACTGGGGGAAGAGGAGAGGGGAAACTCTGGTCAGGGTATAAAAAATAATAAAAAACAATTTAAAAATAATTCTAAGGAATGAATTAACATTGCTCATTTCTGAAAACTGTTGTCAATAATAAAGTGAAAACTATTGTTTCAAAAATGTACTCAATATTCCCCAAGGCAAAGTAACCAATTAATTTTCTCAACAATTCCCAGTTAAAATAGAAGCCTGAATGGTAATTATAGAACTGAAAAGAATGGACAATATTGACCACGGTACATAAAAAAACCTAATGAATCTATAAAACACTGAGCTAAGAAAAAGCCATCATTTCTAAATTACTATTAATTGATAATTGCAGGCTATCTATTTACACATTTTAAGCTCTAGATAATAACACAAAAGAAGCAAGAGTGGGAGCTACATGGGGGAAGAGAACCAGCTGGCAATGAAGGGAAAGTAGTGCAGGGGGGACAGTAAATTAGAAAAAAGTATAATGACATATGTGAGTAAAGATGTCATAATGAAACCAACTACTTCACAAGCCAACTTCAAAGTTCAAAATAAAAAAGGAATAGTGGGAAATCAAGGCAGAAATTAGTGAAGTAGGGAGCAAAAGAGAAATAAATAAAACTAATAAGCAAAATCAAAGACAAACAAGACAAAGAAAAGCTGTTAATGTGTCTTGACAACAAGTAAAAGCACTAGGGAGACCATCATATATATGGGAAATCACAAATGTCATAGGAATGTGGTACTGGAGAACTACATCAAGTTTTTCAACAACTGAAAAACCCTTCTCATCATGCATGACCACCAGAAAGCCAACTAAAGTGACCTACTTTAGTTGGGTTGAGCCATGGAGTGAGTTTGTGGTCCACTAACAAATAAATCTACATTTTACAATTTTCTACCTGTAAGAATGAATTTCATGAAGAACTCTGGAACTCAAAATGTTATAACTACAACTCTAAACATTCAGAGTGGCTTGCCAGGAAGTAGAGAGGTTTACCCAATCTTTTCAAATAGACGTTTTAGGGCATAAGAACCTCTGACAAATGTCATTATCCTAGATTATGCGAAAATGATTTCCTTTTAATTCATTTGAAAAACAAGTCAAATTTCAGTGAGACAGGTTCAAAGGCTGTGTCATGTGTGTGATAAGTAAGCACACTACCACTGAGCCATATCACCAGCTGCCAATTTTACTGTTTGGAGAGAGGGTCTCACCCCTTTGCCAGGTTGGCCTTGCCCTCCCTCTTTTTTTTTAAGTTTAAAGGATTCATTTCATTTCTCAGAAAGACATTTTTTAAAAGAAGCCTTAAATAGAGAGTGCACATGCCATTTGGTCAGGACTGTCTGTAACCTTTCATATTTAAAATGTCACTGTTTTGACAAGGGGTTACCTGCTTGAATTAATTCACTAGCATCTAGACCAATGTATGTATTCTAGATTTAGAAACCACATTTCTGAGAAATTTCACTGAATTTTATAATAGTCCCATGAGATTCTGTAATTCATCACCATTTTGCTCTCCTTCGTGTAGCCCAGGAAGGTTCTGAATTTGTGATCCTCTTGTGTAAGTCTCTTAAATAGCTACAGTTATGGGCCTGCATCACACAAAGCAAGAAGTCTCACAAAGGCTAGTACATTCCCTTCAGAGCACATATGCAAATATAAAAGATAGTTTACGTTTTATTCTAACACTGAATACTATATTCATTATCACTAGAAGAACTTTCTGGGTCATTCAGTCTTTACTCTAAAGAGCTAGCAAATATATGTACAAAGTGAACATTCTAGGTGAAGGGGGCTAGGAGCTAAATGTAAACAAGCTAGGGAGCCAGGAGACATAGGAAAAAATTAAAATTTTTAATTGAGAGAAACAAAATTTAAGGCCTTGAGGTGTACTGTATGTGTCATACTAAAGAAATCACAAGAACCTCAACATGGTAGACAGAACAAGGAGAAAGAGAATAGGAGATGAAATCAAAGGTAAAGGGAATCTAGATGTTGTTGTACCTCTCACTCAAAGTACAGAGTTTGGTCTTTACATTCAGTCAGTATAGAAATCTATTGGATTACCTTGAGCATAGGAGTGTGGTTCTAACAATATATACATTGTAAAAAGTAAATACAAAAGACTATGGTAAAATGGACGATTGCTAGTACAATCAGCATAAAAGCAATGATATTTGCTCTCCTTGTTATTAAAGCTTGTTATGGGAATGGTATTGTTGTAGGAAACTCATGCAATAGAAAACCAAACAGAGTATGACTGCCTAGAAGAAAGGAGGTTACAGTCATAATTACTTGCATATAATGTGTGTACAGCAAACAGTCCAATGGAAACTAATAGAAAACTGGTAGAACAATGGAATCAGTAAGTTCTATGATGATAGTATTTATGAAAACTTCATAATTACAAGGAACAATGCATATTTACATGAAAAATAGAAGCTGATGATAAACTATACTAATATGTGTTTTTTAAATTTAATAAGTACCAGTAATAAATAGCCTAAAAATGATTCCTTAAGAAAAATTCATTTGTCATGAACTTGGAAATAACAAAACAAAATATCTTAATGCTAAGAAGATATAATGCTAAGAATTATAAAGACATACTTTATAAAATCAAGAATTGGGCAAATGGCATTTTTTCAACTGAAATAAATGGAACGGTGTAACTTGATCTTGAATGGAAAACCTTGATATTTTAAAGATGTTAATAATTCTTATGGAAATAACCTATAATTCATTGAAATTCCAACCAAATTGTATAGAACTCTTTATAAAGCTGAAAAATTGCTTCTAAATTACAAGGTGAAAAATGAGGGAGAGTAGTAACGAAAAAGTAGAAGTAAGCAATAAAATATCGAAGTAGCAAAGGAGCACATAAGAAAGTTCCCAAGCAAAGCTGTTTACCTAGAAAACCTCAATTTGTGATAAAGATTAATTTTTAAGTCACAGTGATATGCTAAACTTTTTTTCAGTGACCAAAGGTAGAAAACAATGTAGTACCAATGCAAAATAATTCCTAGATGAATAAAACCTTTTCATGTTAATATAAAATCACAGAAGTGCATGTGTCAGTATTAATTACCACTTTGTTACTTTAGAATAGTAAAGGAAATTTTATAAATAACACAAAATACAGAAATCTTAATAGGAAAATTAATGACTTTCACAAGAATATTTGGTACTTTTATATGGCAAAAGCTTAGTAACAAGAGGGAACAATGGAAAAGAAACAGCTGGAGAGATGCCTCTGCAGTTAAGAGCACTGGCTGCTCTTCCAGAGGATCTGCGTTCAATTCCCAGCACCCACATGGCAGCTCACATCTGTCTATAACTCCACTACAAGGCAACCTGCTTTGATTTTCTGGCCTCCACAGGCATCAGGATTGCAGGTGGTGCACAGATTCACATACAGGCAAAACATCCACACAAATAAAATTTTTATATTAAAAAAGAAATAGCAATAAAGGAAAATATTTACAGCACATTTTGAGGAAGGGTTATCATCTTTAATATAAATAAGCACCACAATAGGAAAAGTGGGGAGGAGACAGGAGAAAGGGAAAAGAAAAAGGTAGGTTCATTTTAGACTAAGAAACACTTACAAATCTGAAGATTTCAGTTCCAAAGTTTTAGGTCAGGGATAGAGTACTCAATGACAGACTGCTTTCCTACCTAGCAAGTATGAGTCTCTGGGTTCTATTCCCAGCACTAGAAGAAAAAGGGGTATATGGTAATTTTAAAATATTTCCTACATAAATGCTTCTACCACTATAATGTACATATATTGTATATTTTGATTACACTGGATGTATATATTGGTTATGATATTTGAGGCATTTTGCCTATTAGTAAATATTGAGCATATATGAGGCTTCTATTATTTAGAAGTTTCTTGAATTAATTATGTTACAAATTCATTGAATAATTATTTAACTTATTAAAACAATAAAATAAATCTAGTCAAACTGAAATTACTCATTCAAAATTGTAAGTTAAAATACTACATATAGTACCTTTATATATGTATAATAATAATAGGAACATATTAAAAATAGATTAAGATCTGAGGTATGATTTAATGATACAGTGTGTGTAGGAGACACCCTAGCCCCGCCCAATAGTCCTGGGACAGGTACCAGGTGGACCCGGGACTCGCCCATAAGGGTGTGGTGAAGGAAAGCCGGGGTGACGTAAGGGAGCTTCTTAAGGGGCTGCATGTGGGGACCCTGGCCCCTTTTGTTCTGGCCGCGCTTGCTGGGTTCTATAACCTAGCTCTGGACTGTGTTTTGCCCTGGTGTCTTCTTGAATAAAGAGACTTTAATCATAATAAGTGTGTCTTTAGCAAATGTGAAGCACTGGGTTTAATTCCTAGAACCAAAATGTACACAAACACAAACATATACATGTATAAATACATACATACAAACATATGCATAGATATATAGTATATAGGATATATATATTATATATATGAATAATAAAGCTCAAATTTATAGTAATAACGAAAGTTAACCCTTACATTGAAGTTGCCATATTCCAGGCATTATTTAAAATGATTTTCTTGTACTCATCTGCAAGTTCTTTTTTTTCTTTTTTTCTTTTTATAATTGTAATTAGACAGTTTTTAAATTAGAAACAAGCTCCTTTTACATGTCAGTCCCAGCCTCCTCCCCAGCCCCACCTCCTATCCTAACCCCTTTCTGCTCCCCAGGGAGGGTGAGGCCTTCCATAGGGAATCTTCAAGGACTGTCATCAGAATTGACCGCAAAAAAGTCCCGACCTGAACAAGTTCTTTTTTATAATAAAGTTTATAAAATTTAAAAAATAAATTTCATGTGTTAATTTATTTAAACCAGCCAATACCCCTGAGATGTGGGCACAATTTCACATAGCCAATATGATTCTGGCTATATCCCTTTAAAGGGAATTCTCACAACCATGAGGAACTGAACTCTAGCCTCTAGAAAGTGACAACTCAGATACAAGGGAATCAAGTCATATGGGTAGGGGACGGTGAGAAGCCCCCTAGCTTAGAAGACATAAATGCCACACAGAAAATCAAGACCTCTTCTGACATCTTACATAGACAACTTCCAAGTGCCCTCAAAGGGAATACTGATTTCATGCTGTTCAGTTTTCTACCCGTTTATTTATAGTCCATTCATAGTGTTCCTGGCACAGTGTATACACTTAACTATTCAGCATGGAGTTATTTCTATTCAAAACAATGTTGTCTGTTCTACATCTGGTTTCCATATTTATTAGAGCTTCAGGGAGTAAATTACAGTGATTAATATATCATTATAAAATTAGATAATATATATTATTAGAAATATGTATCCTTTAGCTCCAAAATTCCATTTCTAGGAATTTACTTGCCAACAAAGGTTTTATCCACTGCAGGAGCAAAAGCAGAAACAAGAGACATAACAACTATTAATAGAAATTACTTCCTTCAGCTGCAAGGTCTGAAGGTTCACAATGAAAGAGATTAGTAATCCAAGATGCCTCTGCCTCCTGCATAGCCTACTTCCCTCACAGACAGACAGCAGGAAAGGATAATCTATTCATCCATGTGTAAAAGGGAGCATTCTTTATAATAAAAACATTACAAACAACTGGAGTAAAGTGTTCTTATTTTAGTAAGAATGTTTAACAAAAATGATAGTAGAGGACCTGTGTGTATTGATACAGCATGGTCAGCAAGATAACAAGGCACTATCATTTGTATAATTAGGGCAAAATTTGATATATACTCCCCTATGCTTGATTTTACAGAGAACATTCTTGGGAAGACACACAAGACAGATTTCCAGGGAAGTCAATTAAATGGCTGGGGGTCCTGGTCACTATGCTTCTTTTTTACACATTTGACTTTTTTTATACATAGTCACATTAACAAGTTGACTATGTTACTTACTTAGAAAATTAATTACACTAAAATTTCAAAAACAAGGCCTGGGAATGTGGCTCAATGATAGAGTAGTTGCCTAGCATACAAGAAGCTCTGGGTTTAATCCCTAGCACCACATAAAATGGTGTGGTGTACACCTGGAATTCTAAAACTCGGAAGATGTAAGTAGGAAGAATCAGGAATCCAAGGTCATTGAATAGTGAATTGAAGGCCAGCCTAAAATATGTGAAACCTCGTCTCAATCAGAAAAAAAGGATTTCTAAGAATATGCACATGAAAACAGCTGACCTTTGGGCACGGTAGATGTATTTGGAGTTTCCTGTAAGACGGTACAGCAGAAGGAAGACATAGGCACTTCCGGCTACACCATGGCAAATCCCTGGCCCCTTCTTCAGCAGACCTTTCTGCCATGTTAGCTCCCCACACCGGATACATGTGTCCAGGTATTGTGGTTTCTTGGAAACGAGATAAGCTTTGGCAAACAGATAAGCAATTCCTGTAAAAACATCAAAGGCAGTAAGAGGTGACTTTCAGGGTTTAATATACAGCGTCTCAAGTACACCTGGTGAATCATCACATATACTAACACAGTGTGCCTAAGATGTGGCCTGAGACACTACATTTCCTTTTTGTTTTCTTTTAGTTTTACATTCTAGACTCCTGGGCACTATACATTTGGTAGCAAGACTATAGAATATTCTACAAGAGAGTGTGCTTTTTCCTGTGTGAGTAGTTTAAACTGTTTTAATTCTATCATGGAGTTGGCTTCTGGAGAAAAAGAAACATTTTAATTGAAGCACATCAATTAATATGATCCATTACCCCACAAAAGTTCAGAATTTGCAATGTTGACATATTTATAACAATACCCTTTCCCTTAAGAGAAAACTAGGAGTCTTTCCAAAAATAACACTGCTATCAAGCAACCTCGGCAAGACATCTACTCCAGCTTTGAAGTGAGTCCTTCCCATGGTCAGTGTTCCATGGAAAGAAACATTCCTTCAAAACTTGCCAACAAAGATTATACCCACTACAGAAGCAAGAACAGAAACAGGAGCTGAGACAACTACTCATTGAAATTATTCTCCCTAAGTTGCAAGGTCTGGCGGTCCATAGTGAAAGAGATTAATAATCTAAGATGAGGCTGCCTCCTGCATAGCCTACTTTCCTCCTAGACAGAATGCAGAAAAGGGCTAAGAGACTAGCAAGTATGAGACACTGGAATTAGGGCCCAGCACCCTCCAAATTTATATTTTAAAGTGGAATCAATGGACATGAATGGAGTAGGTATCTTGATGAAATCACCCACTAAGATTCTCTCTGCCTTTCATTGCTTTTAATAAGGTATTTATATATAACTTGCTAGAGAAGAAAAAATTGTAGAAAACCCATGTGTAGCCATGGTGCAAGGCAATCTTCAAGGGCAAAGCAGCTTGCTCCTCAAAGGGTCCCATACTGGGCTTGATACTATGCTGTTAGCATCTTCAGATTCTTTTTTTTTTTCTGGATAATTTTTTTCAACTTTCTTCTTATTTGAATTAGAAACAGGATTGTTTTTCATGACAATCCCAGTTCCCTTCTCCCTCCCGTCCTCCCATAACCTCCCCCCAACTAAAACCCTATCTATCATATATCCTTTCTGCTCCCCCTGGATGGTGAGGCCCTCCATAGGGTGTCATCAGAGTCCATTGTATCCTTTGGGATAGGGCCTAGGCCCACCCCCTGTGTCTTGGCTCGGGGAGTATTCCTCTATATGAAATGGGCTTCCAAAGTCCACACCTATGCTAGGGATAAGTACTGAACTACTACATGAGGTCCCGTAGATTTCCGAGGATTCCTCACAGAAACCCATGTCCCTGGGGTCTGGATAAGTCCCATGCTGGTATTCTAGCTATCAGTCTGGGGAGCAAGAGTTCCCCTATGTTCAGGTCAGCTGTTTCTGTGGGTTTCACCAGCTTGGTCCGGACCCCTTTGCTTTTCACTCGTCTTTTTCTGCGACTGGATTCTAATTCAGTGATTAGTTATGAGTGTCTTCTGCTTCTTAAGAGCTTTTCAAAATTAGTACTTTCTTATTTTGTACTAGGTCCCAAATTGCATAGCTAGTCTTGTCACTGAGAAATCTAAAATAAATGCTAATGGCATATGCCCTTCAGGGAGACACTGTGACTAACATAAAATAAGGCATGGGTCCATGTTGCTGCTGAGACATACAATGAATGTCAGTGATAGTATAGAGATCAGACAGACAAGTGAAACTGTCCTGAGGGAAACAGTTGGGGGAGGCCTTGAATGGAAGCTGGCCTTTTCTGGGGTTTGTGGACTGCATAGAAAACTCCAGGCCCAAGATGAGACAGAGAAAGCATATTAGGCACCAAGATCACAGAGGCTAAGAGGTTCAAGGATATCTAAGACTAAAACACCAGATCAGTCTGGCAGCATCCTAACCAAGGGGCCAGGAGGGTTGAAGAGTAAGAATGAGTTCACATTATGGATGATATGAGAGCTTCTGTTGGGCATTTTAGACTGTGTACTGTGGGCAATTGGGAACTGCTAGAGGTCTTTTTTATTATAAATTAGTTGGTTTTGATATTTGCATAACAGTATGATTGCTCTCACAGAATATTTTGAGGAAAGAACTAAAAAAAGGCAGGGTAGCTTTGAGCTACTTTTGTTGGCAGAAAGATGGAAATGAAACTTGCCAAAGAGTAATTTCATAGGATGTGGTGGCAACTGAGCATGAACTATACGGAAAAATGCTGATTTTTAAAAGGCCACTCTCTTTAATGGCTTTTAGAGCTTAATCTGGAGGTACAAACTAGGCCATGTGTATACAAATATAGTTATGGGAATAAACAGGAGGGTCCCTTCCCTACAGCTGCTGGTAGGAAAGGCCTACTAGACTGTCATCAATCTAACTGAGTACTTGCAAATGAGCAGGAATCAATGAGGTGCCTAACTCAGCTCCCCTTTATCTTACCAGCAAGTATGCCATGCATGAGTTCTTTTAACAGCTGGCTGCTAACATACATCCTGGATTCCCATGTCTGGAGATTTCCCCACAGGCAAACAGAAAGTGGTATAATGTACTCAGCCTTCTGAAGTTGACTATCATGGATGGATACAAACAGCCTACTCCCTTTCCTCAAGAACCAGATCTTTAGTATATCTTGTGCCTATTAGCATCCCTCAGAATCAAAGTACAGCTGGTCTCAATGAAAGCCACACTTCTCTGGCTTTTCTTAGTTTCGATGTCCTATAGCCCCTGCTCTAGTAGGTTCCCCTGAGACTATGCTCTGCTTCCAGAAACACAGAACAGAGTGTGTTATGTGGCAATTGTTTTAGCCAAGGAAAAGCTAAAGGGTTCGCTATTATAAAGGTACTTTAGCATGGTAAGAAAGCCCTTTATGTTCAGCATCCTGCTCTGTCTGCTAGCCTCTTCTTCATTCTCTGACCGAAACTTTTCACTTCCATAAAAACAAAATATCTGTGGTGCTTCTGTGTTTCTGAATGCCTATGTTATTCTTGGAAGAAGCCTCTTGTTTTTCTTGGCACAACTCAACTCAGGAATCACGTTCTTTAGGAAGCCTTCACTGAATCTGGAGGCAGCATGAGAAATCTCTTTTCTTAGATCCTACCTCAAACTATATTACACTTATACATAACCAAATTAAAACGATCTATTTCCATGTCTGCATCCCCTACTATAAGGCAAACCACCAAAGGTCAGGAATTTTGTCATATTCTTTTCTTTTCTCCTCATCTGTGGTGTGGCGTTTGGTCACCAAATAGTCCCACAAATGTCTGTTGTCCCTGTGAAACCTCATTTATCACCCTAACACAGTGTTTCTCAAACTGTGGGTCACAACCCTTTTGGAGGTCGAATGTCAGATATCCTGCATATCAGATATTTACATTATGATTCCTAACAATAGCAAAATTGCAGCTATGAAGTAGTAACGAAAATAATTTTATGGTTGGGGTCACCACAATGCAAGGAACTGTATTAAAGGGTCACAGCATTAGAAAGGTTGAGAACCACTGCTGTAGCAGAAGCTGGCACTGGAAGCAGAGTAGAGATGTAGAAAAGAAGATAGATGGAGATGGTCTAATTGCTATATCCAGATATTAGCCCCAGAGAGTTACAAGCTATGGATCTCATGGCTCTAGCCAGAGTAAAAAGTCCTCTTCTTGAAGCCTCGATCACAGACTGATGTATGTGTAGGGGGCCTTGAAAATGTTCTAAATTTGTTAGCACATTGCCTAATGGAAACCATCCTAATGCTTCTGACTCTTAATGGGAAGGATATCATGTTTCTTTGACTGTGATGGGGACTAGAACAACGTTTTCCTGGGACCACTAATTAGATTCAACGATATGAAACACAAGTCAGTAACAGTGTATGACTTTGCCAAATACAACCAGGATATTAAGTTACAATTTAATAGAGATGGCTTAGGGAGACTAAATCTTTGAAATATGGGATCTCCAGAGACTTGTGACAGGTAGGATACACAGTTTCAACATACTGAAGTATCACCACTCAGGTTCATGCTAGGATTCGTAATTTTGCTGAGTCATTACAAAACTTAGTTACCACCCTGTGCTTCAGAAGATTGCCTCTCTCTTCAAAGTCACCTACCTACCCTAGAGCCTTTGTGGAATGAATTTTCAAAACTGCTCACACCTGTGTTTCACACAGAGTAAAGGAAGTGCACTGTCAGTGTTACCAAAGTAATGCTGTAACCTGATGAAGTCAGCGAGGTTATTTTAACACCAGCATTTGTTTTAATGATTCTGCAAATGACTTCCATCCTGTATTTCAGAGTGATCAAGGTTATGAAGGGATCACATGAGTTTTCCTGCAATACATTATTGTATTTAGGAAGAAAAACCTGGATGTCACCATAGGTTTTTATAAATGTTTATAAAAGCATCTGAGATATATCCCTTAGGAATGGCAAAGGTCCAGGTGTAAAAATGTGTCAATGGTGACACAAATACTTCAATATGCTTATTTCAGATTCTTTAAAATGTGACTTTTCTCAAGGTCATTTAGCTGGTTACTGCTACAGCTACAATTAGACCCCAGAATTGTTAACCTGTAGTCAAGAACTAGTTATACATTTCATCTATACTAACTAGGGCAGTCACTTATAGAGGTGGGCTGAAAGAAAGTCAAAAGGAAACTGAGGCGTGCATAAGGTAGCACAGTTCCACTTTGTAGATTATCTCTAGCAAGTTTTTAATCACAGGAATGGTCTGTCATCCCAAACCATCTGTGCTGTTCATAAATCTATTCTCGAATTTTTTCTCAAACAAATGAATTTCTAGGCCATTTCCTGTTGGGGAGAAATTGATTATAGTCAACTTCAGGGAGATCTTGACTGTCTTTGACCTGAAATTCCCAGTTTTATAATCACTCTTAGGTGAGGGTTGGGATTAATAGAAATAATGGACCATATTTCATCAGTGAATCAGTTTCTTTTTGATGCTCCAGGGACTACATGGAATTAATGATTTTTTTTGTTTTGTTTTGTAGCAATGATTGTTACTCTTCTCAAAATGCTTAGGATGACTGTTAAAGGGGATGAATAAAGTCTCCAATGTCATGAGTCCGAAACAGATGGCATTTGGTATACAGAAAGGGTAGAATGACAGTCATTTAAACACCTTCCACTCATTTTAGTAGATTATCTTTCTACTCTATTAAGGGCTTTTACTAGCACATTGAGTCCTTTTAAAATATCCTATATTTAATTTGGGGCATCTCCAAAATTCAAGAATCCTGCAATGCCTGGAGAATGTCCAGAGACCATCGCTGAGAATGATTAAGAGAAAGGAGAAATAGGTATCGAACATAACAAGAAACATAATTTCCAGGAAGGTAAATAAGTAACTGCTGTGTTTTCCCCCTAAAAGGTCAAAGCAAGAAGTAATGGGAACAAATTATACCTGGCAGCAGTTAGCCTGAACATAATGTACTATGTCCTGCTACTTTTTAAAATACACAGTTCGACGTTCCTTCCATAGTTAAATGTGGCAGGCAGAGAAAATATGACAATAGGCAGTGACTTATATTATTCATCACCTCAAACTGTATCAAGGAAAAAACAGAACTCTAGGTTGATTAAAGAACATTAATTAAAAGGTGAAGGGAGGCAATAAAAATCAGGTAACAAGACAAAGATAAATCGCATGCAATCTAAAGCTGTGCTCTTCTAAAGCACAGCCTTGCAAATTCATTCATAATCAAAAAATTTTGGAAGGTGAAAGTAATTATAAAGCATTATAGACACATGCAATTATCAAAGAACAAATTTAATAATTGTGTTATTTGATATTTTGTTCTCTTTGCCAATTAACTGAATTTATTTGTTTGAATTTAACTTCTTTTAAATTATTCCTTCTCTGGAAGACTAGTTAGCAATGTAATGGGATTTGAAAAGGGTGGGATAGAGAGAGGTAGGTAATGAAGTCTGTCTAGTATCAAGGCTCAATTTCAGAATTCATTTGGGGGTGGATTTTCATTTCCTTAGACATTTTATTAGTTATTCCTGGAAACACTCACTTGAACAAAAATTCCAAAGCCATGCATTTCAAACTTAAAGATTAACACAAGTTTCATAAGGATACTAATCAAATATACATTGTGATTCACTGGTTTGTGATGGAGCCTAAGATTAGAAATTTACAACAAGCTGTCACACTACTAGGCCAGAGGCCACCATATATATAAATAATCAGGCTATGGATGTGTGTCTTCCAATGTAGCTAAAAGGATTTTGAAATGTAGCATTTGATTAGAATGTTACATAAGGGTCAAACCAATTATGAATTTTAAAGATTTCAATATTTCAAAGAATGTATACTATCATTTTTTAGTGCTCTGGATTGAACCCAGATCCTCTGTGTTCCAGAAAAGTGCTTTTTGTACTTGGCCAGCCATCTCTATTTTTAAATTAGTAGCCTATTAAAATAATAATATTTAGGTTATATATTATTAAAATAAATTCTACCCATTTCTTTTTGCTTTTCAATATGGGGCTACTGATTCTTTTTATGTATATATTCTGGGACTCAAACCCAGAACTCTGAGCATACTAATCATTCACTCTACCACTCAGATACCCTAAAAGCTTAGACTACACACGTGATTCACATTACATTTTGAGGGAATGCTTGTTTAACACTAAGGATAGAGAGATGTAATGTGTAAACCTATGGAATAATTTTCAGAAGTCCTTTAAAGATCAAGGCATTTTTTAGTTTTCAAAATGATAGCTATGACCTAGGATGAGAAATGCCCTCAAATCTCAGAAAAATGAAACTCCTTTTGTGTAAGCTAGGTGAAAGGCCCTGTTTTCAGACAATAATGTGTGGGAGACCTGGAGCACCGTGGCACCAGTGGACCAGTTCGTTCTCTCTCTCAATGGTCTCTCCAAGCTCAGGCGGCCAGTTGCAATTCTGTTCTTGCTCCATGAGGAAGTCCACACTCTGCCACACCAGCTCCCGATCTGAAGGCTTGAGATGCTCATGGTAAGAAAGAAGCATCTGGAGAATGGATGACAGGCCATGAGCTGCCCCTGTGTGGACAAAGCAAACGTCATTTATCCACCAAGAGAGGAGAGGTAGTTTGAACTAGCGAAAAGAAAATCGTGAGATTTGTTGAACATTAAAATATTACTCAAGGCTGGGCGTTGGTGGTGCACGCCTTTAATCCCAGCACTCGGGAGGCAGAGGCAGGTGGATCTCTGTGAGTTCGAGGCCAGCCTGGTCTCCAGAGCGAGTGCCAGAATAGGCTCCATAGCTACCCAGAGAAACCCTGCCTCAAAAAAAAATTGCTCGAAAGCACATACAATTCTATAACAATTGAGTTGCTAAAAAAAAACTAAACCAGTAGTAAAGTATAGCTTTGCAGCCCAAATCTGGTTCACTGTCGTAAACAAAGTTATATTGGAACGTACCTATGCTCATCCATTTGTATGTTGTTCTCTGCTTCCTTACATCATACAGCAGACTTGAATGTATGACTGAAACCATATGGACCATAAACCCTAAATAAAACTGTTAAGCTCTTCATAGAAAATTTGATTTTATGAAAATGTTCCCAAAGTGCTTGAAATCAATTTGGTCTAGAGATCTTAAGGTGCTAAGGGAAGATGAGTAAACAAAACAGAATAAAAGGCCTTTCCCTTGGTGTCAATTCATTCAATTATTCACAATGAATACTTATGTTTTAGACATTATCTCACAATTGAGATACAAAAAGATGAATTTTCCCATACTCTTGAAGAGACCTCTCTATTCAATTCAGAAAGTGAGCCATATTTGAAAAACTATTAGAATGTAAGTGAAGTACTTTATAATAGATGAGTAGCAGGAGTATGATGTGTGAGTCTATGTGGCAACTTAACTGGGCAAAATGTTGCCCAGAGATTTTGTTTGAACATAATTTCTAGGTATGTCTTTTTGAGTGCTTGTGGGGACAGTAAAAGCTGAACCTGTAAAATGATTAAAGAAGACTGCCCTTGCCAATTAATTGTAGGTAGTCCTCATCCACTCATCAAGGCCTAAATGTAACAAAAATGCTAAGAAATAATTCTCCAGCTTAGACATTTGTCTTCTCCCTGTAGACTTGGACTCAGCCTGGAACTTACAACACTGACCTTTTTAGGTCTGGATTTTTCAGCCTTATAATCCTTTAAGCTTATTCCTTTATTAGTGCTCCATTATTTATACAAATAAGCAATATCCATGTGAATATCTATATATTATTTAACATATACAATTTAGAATATATGATGCATACTATTTAGTCTTACATTAAAACATATTGCATATTATACACGGATAATAATTATTACAAGGAAGCTTGAGTTTTCAGGAAAGTATTTACATGTCTACCAGAAATTTGGTTTGTAATACGTATATCAATGGCCAGAATGTCAATTTCTCCTTTAAAAAAAACTATTAATGAAAGAACTATAAAAGACACTGCTAGTACCCTGACAAACTTTCCACTCAGGTGCATCTATGCTCTCCAAACTTCCTATCTTAAATAGCTCTTATTTTGCCTGAATTTATCTCTGGCCACAAGAATATGTTCAACACACAGGGATAATACAGAATTAACACCCCTGAAGTAGCCCACCAATAATGCAGAAAATGCATAGAAAAATGCATGGACTTCCTCAGTCTTTGGGTAAGACATTTCTGAGGCATGTCCCATATGGCTTCTGTCAGTCTTCAGTGGGACTGAGCCTATTCCAGTTTGAAAATGAAATATTTGCCATCAGATTATACAGTGAATGCTTGCTCTCCAGTGAGTAGTACTATTTTGGGAGACTGTAGAATTGTTAGAATGTGGGGCCTATATAGAAGTAGGTCACTTGGTATATATCTTTGAGGGTCTTCAGGCCCTTCCCTCTCCCTGATTTTCATCTTCCATGAGAAGAGTAACCTCTGCTGTATGCTTATGCTATCATGTTCTTCCCTGTTATGGGCCCAGAATGAATTCAGTCATGTGACAATAGAATGGCCCTTCTGAAACCACGAGCCAAAAATGTCTTTCCTCCTTTAAGTAAGTCGTTACAACAGGCATTTTGTCAAAGTGACTCAAAAGTCTAACACAGAGCCTCTGCTATCCAGAACTGCTAATTATTTCACAAGTTAAAGTCTTCCTCTTCCTTGTCTCATGTTTCTACTCCCCTAGCATTGCTTTCTAGGATCACACTTCAAATAGATTTTTATATTCAAAACCTACTTCAAGGTCTGATCACACAAAGACTTAGAAAAAATGCAAAACTTCTTCGAGAAAATGCTCACTAATGCTGCTCGTTAACCATTCATCCATTCATTTGGTTACCCTCATTAAATGCAGGCTCTGTGGCAAAGGTCCCAGAATCACAAAACTAAATGAATGAATCCCCATTCTGAATGTGCACAAAACCTGACAGAGCAGTTGAACAAGTGACTCATAAATTATAATAAGACACAGTGAGGACTCCATTAACAGTGTAGGCATGATGCCATGATGTCACCCTATTTGCTTGGGGGGCAAAATACCTGAAACACGTTAATTGTTCTCAAGATTGGCTTCAACAACCCTTTCTCCTAAGACACAGAACGTGCTTCAGTATATCTCATAAGGTTTGCACTGAGTTTTGAAGTCTGTGTATTACAAGTAGATGAAGGGCTTGTGGGAAGTGAAGCCTTCTAGGCAAAATGAACATAAATGATAGTTTAAAGGTAAGAGGTCACTTTTGTGTGGAAACCTACAGTAGATAGAACCTAGAGGAAAGGAGACACAGTTTAAGTGTGGCTTACAAACAGCCTTACAAATTTTGCTCAGGAGTATAAGGATGCAAACTGGGGGAACTCGTTTTACCCTTACATGAATCAGAGCTCAAAATTAGTCACTGTAGTTCAGTTGCTGTTATGAATATGCTATCACTAAAAATTTACTGAATTGATCTTATTCCCCTGTTCAGAAGCATTACTTAGAATCAGTGTGATCATTGTTCACCATGTCTCAACAAAGTTAAGCCATGTATGATGATATATGCCCATAGTACCAGTTCCTCGGGGATATTTGTTTGAGCCCAGTAGTTCAAGGCCAGCCTAGGCAATGTATTAAGACTTATCTCAGATAAATAAATGAGTAATAAAGGTTTTAGTCTTTAGTGAACATGAATGGTAAAATACTTATATTACTGTCATTCATGCTTTGAAAAGATATTAAAATATCTCAACTTTTGTTTTAAAATGCTTTAAAGTATTTCTTATTCATGAATAATGATAGTCTAGAACAGTGGTTCTCAACCTTCCTAATGCTGCAACCCTTTACTACAGTTCCTCATATTGGGGTGATCCCCAACCATAAAATTATTTCTACTGCTACATCATAACTGTAATGCTGCTACTTTTATGAATCATATTGTAAATATTTGATATGCAGGATATCTGATATGCAATCGCTGTGAAAGGGTGGGTAGACCTCTCAAAGGGGTCATGACCCACAGGTTGAGAATCCCTGGTGTATAGCAAAACTGAAAACATTTGTTCTTTAGTCAGTGTTACCATTAGAGACTCTCCAGCTTACAGGAATGTGCCACTCACCCAAGTATTCAGTTCCATAGTAAGAATACATCAGGGGAAATGGTTTTCTCTTCTTTAGGGCATACTGCTTCCCAGAGTCCAGAATCGCCTGGCATATTGATTTAATTTGTGCTGGGGTCAGTACCTAAATAAAGAAAGATCAAAAAGCCAAAGTCAAAGCAGGACCTCTATCTCTGTCCCCTCAGACATTAAATAACAGGCCTTTAAAGGGCTATTGTATATGTAAAAACTTAGTCAACTAAGCTTCCTTCATGTTCTGCCACTGGTTCTTCTTTTGATTCGAGTTTATCTACCCTCTTCAGAATGTTTAAAATAGACACTTTTGCTGTGATGGGTTGTTACAAAATGAAAAGACCACCATATACGTGTTGTATCATTAATCCTTGTCATGGGAACAAGAATTTTCTCAGGAAAGAATGGTGAGGCTAACAGATTGTGCTTAACAAAGCTACTACTAGCCCTGACACAATACATGCTACAGGTCTGGCCCAGATATCAGGCCTCTAGGCTGTGCTTATAAAGCCATGTCTCTAATGCAAGCTACTGCATGACAAATTTAGAGCAGTCACTTGCATTCCCAGAATGAAAGCAAAGTCCAGTTGTGCCAAGACAAAAATCACTTTAACACTCAAAGGGCACGTTCACATTTTGTTCAATCTTTGCAATAATCAGTTTTAGGATTATGAAGGCAAATTAAAATGTTCTCAAGCCTCCAAAGCACAAGGGAGTTTGTTAATACTCTCCTCTGGTTTCCAGTATGCTTTGTGACCTGTCTTCCCTCAGGGGCCAACTGGATGCTTCCTTTGGTTTGTTTCCTCTGTCACCAGGCTTCCTGTTATGATGAAACACTTACCCTCTTGCTGTCTTAGTTCTGTATCTCACTAGACTATCAGTTCCTTGAGAGCAAAGATTGTGACGTTTGTCATTTTGAATCTCTGGTGCCTAACATAAAAATTGAAGTGGAGGAGAGGGGGCTTGGTAACAAAGTCCCCCTTCCTTTACTCCTATCTTTCATTCCTTCCCCTTTCCTCCTCTTTTCACAATCATTTCTTAAGTGTGTATTCCATTTCATGCAAGCTTATTGTAGGTGCTGGCACTAAGACAAAAAATATGATAGACATGACACTTGCTCTGAGGACACCAAGCTTCCCAAAAGGCAAATATTAATAGAAAACTACTGGTTAGGTTGACCTGAAACAAGATATCTATAGTCCAGGATGATTCAATAAATCTAGGATCAAAAAAAGGAAGAAAAGCTCAATGAATTTTGGCCTCTCTCATTTATCTGTATCTGTCATTAGATCAACCAATTATTGTTTAAGTAAAACAATAATGATCTAAGCCACAACTTCCCTCTGTTTTACCCAATATTAGGAAAATAAAGTATAATCCAGTTCTGGGTTCCTCAAATCTAAACTTACTCAGCAAAATAATTAAAGAGGAAACCGTTGCTGAGTGTGGCATGCATCCTGTAATCCAAGCATTTGGGAGGCTGAGTCAGGAGAATCTCAAGTTCTAGGTTTTCTTGGCCTATATACTGGTACCCCATTTTAAAATATATTTAAGCAAAAAAGGAAACTGTCTGCTCATTAATTCGCCAGTTAACATTTATTGGGTTACTATTCTAGTAAGGTCCGTACTAGATATCATGGGGAGAGTCTTGAAAGCATGGGGCACGGTTTTTTTCCCTGTAGATAATTTGCTATCTGTTGATGGAGATGAGAGGTGGACAACAGCTTGTTAGATTCATGAATCTAGAGAGATGGAAAGAAACATGGACGATAAAGTGCTGTTCAGCTTCTCTAAGATTTTACTCTATCCTAGCTCTACTTGCTCAGAAACAATTACATCATGGCTTTCGATTTCAACGTTCCTTTTACTAGCTACCTGTTATTGTCTCTTGAGTTCACCTCTCCTTTCTTCCTACCCATGAAAGCCCCATCTTCCTATGTATCATCACTGTCACATTCAGACAGACGTGGGTCTTTCCTAGTCTAACAGCATATTTCTCCTAAATGATTTTCTGACTCAAAGTTGTAGCCCCCCCAAATTCATCTGCCATATGAAAACACTTTCTTTTAGTAAGAGCAACTGATTTTATACTAAATCTTATTGTTTGAAATCTCACATCACTAATCTCAAATCCTGTTTTTTTTTGTTTTTGGTGCTTTTTTTTTTTTTTTTTTTTTTTTTTTTTTTTTTTTTTTTCAGGAACTTGCTAAGATCCTTGAAGGGTTTGGACCTAATACGATTTTATCCTGGTTCCATCCTCCTTCTAATTTCCTAGGAATAAGTCTTGCTCCTTGGCTATCCACAGGTCTTATCTGTCCTGTATTGATTCTGTCTGAGTCTGCATGACAGACAATTTTTGTGGTAGAAAATGGCCACCGAATTACTAAATTACTACAATTTTCTTATTTGCTTTTCATATTCAGAACTGAAAACTGTCTGAATCATGCCTAAATTGAACATGTAGTCTTATTCTCCTGTTTGTTTGGAAGTCAGAAAAAAAATCAGCTTGTCCTGTGTGTGGTGCCCTCCCCCATTCTTTCCATCCTACCATTCAAAATAGGGAAGGAATTTATGAACTACTCTCTCAAAACCTGGCCTGGTCATGTGTCTTGTCTGGGCGGTTTCTTCTTATCTCACAGAAACACCGTGAAAAACAAAGAGAACACTGGGGCTGCTTGTTCAGCTGGATAGAGGATAGTTATGTGTGCAGTTCTTTATCTCTGGGAACAGACAAGACCTACCCTTGAGTTTATTGATTGGCAAATACAAACTGAAAAGAGTTCTCCCTAAAAGTCTGTGTGAGGGAAGGAATATCAAGAAAGAATGTACCTCCCTCTCCCCTCCTCCTAACAAACAGTACAGAACAAAAGTGTGTATGTGTGTGGGGGGGAGGGTAAGTCTTAGGGGTAAGGGCTGGGTTTTGTTCTCTCGTGTGTCAGATTTTTCAAACATGCCTTCATTTCCTGTTGCAAGCACTCAGGAAGGTGAATGAGCATGTGTACTCCCTCCGAGGAGATGCCCTCAGGATACACTCAGATATCCTGGACCAGGAAAGCAGCATTTCCAATGTGGAAAGTGACAGGAAGCTACAGAGGAGCTCCCCTGTCATCAGATCATTCCTAAAGCAAGCCTGATGCCTTCTGTGTTCTTAACACTAAAGGCTTAATGCTATGTTGATACTTCAGATTAATTAGTTTTTTTAAACCTCCTCTGCCTACACTGAATTAAAATAAAGATATCTCAAAAATGCAGAAGCAGGTCTGTGGTGGATTGCTTTAAACAGTTTCATTAGTTAGCTGATTCCCTTCACTGACCCTGTAACATATTCTTATTAGGCTGGCCTCTGAGTATGAAGAGATGAAAGAGCAATAAAACAAATGGTATGTTTCTTGGTCTTGCCTGAAGGCTATGACTGAACCACATCCGTATAGAGATGACCTTCATTAAGGAAATGAATAAAATGGACTAGGCGGCAAGATGCTGTCCCACACCACAGACTCTGTCCTGGCACACAGCCCCCATGAAAGAGCAATCTTTGCTAGCTATATTTCTTTGTCTGGGCATCAGATACCATTGGCCTTTCCCCCATTGGCAATAACTGGATTTTCAGATAGTAGCAATGAAATCCTAGGTCTATCAGTGTGCTAAGGCATTCTATGCTATTAAATTCCTCTTTTTAACAATTCAAAATGCATATTCTAAAAGAAATGAAACTGTCAGCAATCACAGTTGATGCTGACAGCAGGTCAGGTGGTAGGGATAGACCCATGCACGGCTGAAACGTAAGTGGAAACATGCAGGAGCTATGGGGAGAAAGGCTGAGTAAGCCACCCCGAACAGAGAGTGAAAGGAGGCTGGGGCAGATACACCAACAGAACAATTGTGTGGAAAGGAACTTAAGAGAAAGGTAGCTGGTCCCCATAGCTCTTAATTCATGACAGTTTAAGGAAATCGCCTTTAGGGCTTCCTGCCAAGTTTTTATCTAGCACAGGCTCTCATCTATCCTCCCAACTTGAGTTATTTTAGAGAGCCCCAGGCTCATTCTCTCTCCTAGCCACAACAACCCCAACTGGAACAGCATAGATATAAAGCCAATGCTTTCTCTATTTACATCTCCATCCTCCACAGAAACATATCAACTCTGCTACCTACCAGTCTAAATCTTCTCAGACAACACTAATAATGATGCCTGAATCTAAGGCACACAATATAGACTTCAGTCCTTGGCCACTGTCAAATCTCATTGTAAACATCTGAGATCTCAGATGCATCTGCTCCTCAAAGTGTGGTCTATGGACCAGAAGTCTTGCCATCATCTAAGAACCTTTAGAAATACAGAATCCACAGAATCAGAAACTGAATTTTTCCTTCCTTCCTTCCTTCCTTCTTTCATTCCTTTCTTCCTTCCTTCTCCTTCCTTCCTTCCTTCCTTTCTTTCTTTCTTTTTTCTTTCTTTCCTTCTTTCTTTCTTTCTTTCTTTCTTTCTTTCTAGATAGGATTTCTCTGTGTATCAGCCCTGGTTGTCCTGGAACTTGCTGTGTAGACTAGGCTGGCCTCAAACTCACAGAGATCCTCCTGCCTCTGCCTCCCAAGTGCTGAGATTAAAGGCATATGTCACCACTGCCCAGCCCAGAAACTGAATTTTAGCAAGATCACCAGGTGGCACGAACTCACATTAAGGTTTGAGAAGCACAGACTTCTCTAGATATTATCTGTGAATTCTTGAAAGTCCCTGATACTGGATGAAAGCTCAATGATACTGTGTATTTAAATTACATAAGTCAGACTTTCCATATTTTAAAAACACTTTTAAAATTTTTATTTATTTTTAATTTTATGTATATGAGTGTGTTGCCTGAATATATATCTATGATGCACAACGTGCATGCAGAGTCCAAGGAGGCCAGAATAGGGATGGAATTCCCCTAGGACTGGAGTCACAGACAGTTGAGAATTAAAGCCTGGTTCTTTGGAAGAGTAGCCAGTTCTCTTAAGCACTAAGTCATCTCACCAGCCCCCAGGACACCCCTCCACAGCCTGCAACTCTAACTGCCACATCCTTGGTTTCTGTAGGAACAAAGGGAAACTGGAAAGTTTTTGCAAACAGGTATTAAAGATAGTGCTTTAAAGTTCTTTTAGCAACTCCCTATAAAGCTCCTGTCATAGTCCACTTAGGAAACCAACTAAATTGATAAGTTTTGATTTTATTAGAGACGGACAGCAAGAACTTTTAAACATTAATGTCAGGAAACAGGAAATTGAAAGTCAGCATGAAATTCCTTCATTTCCTACTTACACATTTTTGGTTCTGAGACACATTCTCACTGTGAAGTCTTGGCTGGCACAAACTCACTATGTAGAGCAGGCTGGTCTCAAACTCATAGAGATCTGCCTACTTCTCCCTCTGGAGCTGGCATTAAAGGTATATGCCCCCATGCTACACTCCTACTTACACCTTTTTGTGTCAACCCTTAGAAAGGATACTATAGCCTCCTTTCACTCAAAACAAAAGAACAGGATTATTACAAGTAGTTAGGATGTATACTCCCTCCCTACTGGTACTCAGGAACATGGCAGCTTCAAAGATATGGCTCTTGTCTCAAGGTATGGTACCAGTAACAGAGATACCAACATATGACATGTCTGTGTGACAGAGAACAAGACAATTCTTACAGGGGGTACCAGTATTTTATTCTCCATTGTAAACTTAGCTTTTAAAATTACCAATCTAAATAATGTCAATTTAAAATGCTGTGGAGGTTTTGTATAAGAACAATATTTCACATGTGGTTGGATTTACACTTTTGCTATCTCGGGCTGTATTCCACTTGGGGTTCTCTGGGTTACTTAGAAAAGCCAGGCCTTTCATGAAATCTCTGTAGTGGGTGGATATTTACATATGTCACTGAGAAGACAGAAACTTGGAACAACAATATATACACAAGTCAACTTGGAGCTCTTGATTTAAAAAAAAATGAAGATTCTAAATTTGTTAGGTTTAGGGTGAGGCTAGAGTTCTCCATTTCTAACAATTGCAAGATGATGCTGAGGTTGGTGCTGTCACCTGTGGACCACACCTGAAGTGGAGAAGGGTGATGGGAGGACAGAGGCTGGTTACTGCAGAGGATTTCTCCTAGGAAACGGTGAGAAAACTAGAATAGAGGAACTATAGGAAGTCTGAAAAACAGTCAGGGAAGCAAGAGGGAGTGCCAAGCTTCATGTTATACAATCATTAAATTACTCAGAAAGAGGAAGTAACAATGGGACGTTTTCTATCAATATGCTGCATACAGGAAAAACATGCCCAAATTTACAAACCCCTGTGGGGAGCTCTCTCAGCCAATGTAGTCAGGTTTGTTATTTTCTTAATTAGTCTCCAAATGGGGCATGTGTGCTGGTGCAGAATGAGCAAGTTCCATCTGGTTTTCCTGATGCTCCCTGACTATTATTATGCTGGGCAATGAGGAATGGGAGGCAGGTTGCTGGAGTGATGATTATTCTCCAGTCATTAAAGGGACTCAGCAGGGAATTTCAGTTGTAAACATTTGGTCCAATACCATTTCACTGTTGTTTCTGTTCCTTTCTCATGTTAAGAAACAAGAACCAACAAAACACAGAAATCCAGAAAAGAAAAAAAAAAAACAGGTTTTGCTTCATTTTTGTAGAAGCTGACTTTCAAGACTCATGAGATACTGGTCACCCAGTGTTACTACATGATGACTCAGAACCTGAACCAAAAGGGATCAAGACACTTAACACACCTATGCCCTCAGGCAATGGTGAGACTCCTACAAAAATGTAGTTCTTAATATGTGCTTGTACACTGCAGTCACCGGGGAAACTGAAAATTCTTGATGCCTAAAGACCTAAGGTCAAATTTATGGCATCATAGTCCCTAGGTAGGGCACTCCAGCATCTGCATATTTTAAGTTCTCTACGTGATTATAAAAGGTCAATGTTGAAAAACATTGCCATGAAACAGTAAATTGCTGCAAAAGTGTTTAAAGATTATATGAAAAATAAGAAGAGGAGAGGAGAAAGAAGAGGCATTTTAAATGGAAGGCAAGCCAAAGGTCACCCAGGTATGGAGAAACAGCCTTTAGTGTAAGACAAACATGAGTAGAAGGCATGCACATAAATGGATATGCTGAGTCAAGCTAGAAGTCCTCCAAACACTACCCAGTGTCCAAGCCAGCTAGCAGTATACCACTTGTTGGAGTTTAATGAAGAAACCACAAACAGTGAGCTGGTCTAGGATTCTGGATACTTGGGGCTTGAGATCCAATTTTGGTACCATAATCATGGTTCCGTGATCAGAAATTAGTTCCCTCTTTTGTAAAATCAAGGAGTAAAGCTAAAATCTGTCCCTATGTAAGTGTTTCTCAATTCTTTTGTGACTGCTAGGCTCACATCCAACATGGATGGGAAAAGGGCTCCAGGGGCCTTAACATTTATTGACAAACTATTGGAAAATGGCAGATTCTGGCAAAAGAAGGAGCTATAATATCCAGTTGTGTGTTTACTCATGAGGCTCTAAGGAATCATTCCAAACAAAGAGTCATACAGACAGCCCTAGTTAAACTCTACAGGACACAAAACAAACAAAAAGTAAATGTTGGAAAGAGATTTTCAGGGAAGGAGAACTGATGGGGTGAGATGAGAAAAGGCATGAGGAGATTGCTCAGAATGCATTATAAACATGTATGAAATTTTCAATGAACAAAGTTATTAATAAAAAGTACCTAAATGTATATAAATACAACTTGCTGAGTCCATCTGATTGGTATTATATTGTTTCAAGGATGAGCACTCTGCACTGAACAACCAATACAGTGGACCATTCTTGGGAGAGGCTAATTCTCCTCTCCTCTCTGCAGTAGTTACTTACCTCTAGTTCTTTGTCTAGAGATGGGAAACCTGTGAAAAATTTCCCCTTACATGACCACTAATATATCTGTGGCAATATCATATACACATGCAATATCATATGTACATGCAATATCATTTATACATATATTCAAATATATACTTTATCTATAGCAATATATTCAAAGAAAAAGAGGTTATCAATTTGAGATAGGATGCATGAGGGGAGTTCAACAGAGTGTAGCTGGGAGAAGGTGAAAGGGGGAAAGGAAGGGGTAGTGATGTAATTCTACTTTAGTTTAAAAAATTAATAATTTTGCCTAAAAAGCTGCTAAAACACAGCTTCCTGGGCCAGAGACTGACTTGGTAACTGTGGAATGATATCTGAGATATATTGTATTTGTAACAATCTTTTGGACGGTGGTTATTGTTGTTGGTAAGGGAAGCACTCAGTGAGTAATTTTGTAATAGATGACCACCTAAGGTCACTTAGGGCTCCAAATTTTACCATTCTGTAAGGTATCAGAGGAGTCTGGGTTTTGAATATAAGGAATTCAGCATAGTGATGCGAAAAATATGGTGCTGAAGCCTGTTGACACAAACTTGTAACCTCAACATTTCTGAAGTGGTGACAAAAAGATCAGGAGTTCAGTAATTTGAGGTGAGCCTTTGCTACAAGACAGCCTCTCTAAAAAAATTTCAGCAAAACCCAAACCAAAATAAAGACAAAACTATGGAGTTCAGAGTCACATCAAGACCAGGAACCCAAACGAATATTTACTACTTTCTAGTAGTGTGGATTTGGGCAGGTTACACGTTTTTGTTGTTTTGTTTTGTTTTGTTTTGTTTTTTGTCTGTTTTCTGCTAGGGTTTACATATGACATATACTTTAGAGGAGCTATTATATTTTATACTAAAATACTGCCATTGCTAGTTTGGAATCCCTGGAAGTGATGCTTACTTAGAAGCAGGTCATGGTGGAGGTTGTCCTTAGGGGCTGTATCTTTTCCTCGGCACCTCTCTATCTCTCTCTGTGCTTTCTGTATGCTCCTCCCAGATATAATGCTCTGCCCCTCCTGGCAATAGGAGAGCTGCCCAACCATAATTTTCTCCTTAGAAAATGTTCTGTCAGATATTTTGACACATCAATGAGTGATGATAGCATTGGTACCACAGGAGTGGGATTGTCGCAGTGTGCAAACATGAGCAGCATGTTTAGAAGCCTTTGGAACTGGTGGAGCTCAGAAGCTTAGTTAGTCCTTATAGAATGAAGATTATGCACATGATCAAATGGGGCCTTGAGGTTTCAGAAAGAAGGAAGTGCTTTATTGGAATTTTGACAGGAGGACATTCTTCATGTATTCTTTCTCTGACAGTGTATGTGTGTGTGTATGCCAGAGATTGACATTGGGTGTCCTCCCCAGTTGTTCACTTTTTCTTGTGATAGGGTCCCTCACTGAACCTGGAGGGTTCAGTGTCTAAATCATCCATTTAGCTTCACTGGCTGGCTAGCAAACCCCTATGATCTGCTTGTGTCTGCCTACCTAATTCTGGATCACAGGTGTGCACTGCCTGCTCAGCTTTTACATAGGTTCTAGACTTGAATTTGGGTCTATGTGCTCATGCAGTAATCACTGCACAGACTGTGCCATCTATCTAGCCCTCGTGTTAAGATTCTGACAAAGAATTTGCATCCATCTTGTCTCTGAGTTTAAAGTCGATGACATAATCTAGCAGAGGAAATCTCAAGGTGGAGTTTCAGCTGTGCCACAATTATTGCTAGTTGCTTTTGGCCAGGTTCACAATGAGATTTAGTAGTGAAAAGCAGAGCAGAAAGTTTTAAGATAATTACAGTTTCTTTCAGAAAATTCTGTGTGAAGTTCGAGTTAAGGAAAACAGTTTCTGAAGACATTAGCATTGGAAAAAGTCAAGCCAGTGAAATTGCTCAGAAGGTAGGGGCACTTGTCATCCAGCCCGACAACCAGAGTCTAATCCCCCTAAATGCTGAAAGGAGAGAACTGACTCTCCCAATTTGTTCTCCAATCTCCACATGCTCTAGCAAGTACACACCCTACCTGGACCCTCCCAAAATAAAGAAAATTTCATAAAATGTTTGAAGTAAGTCACACACTTTGCATCAGAGAAACAACAAAGATATCTTAAGGACATCTCATGAATCGGCCTAACTCCACCCATTGCAG